AACGATGCGACGTTAGCGACAGATTTATGTGAAATCACGTTTCTTTTGCAAAAGTTATGAGCGGTATTGTATGGACGAGCTATACATTCTGTGCAAATGCAATACCTTTCATAAAGCCTACTCCGCAGTAGTTATCTCTGATGTCATCGCTTGATTTATTTCACCTCTGTTAACAGTCATGATAGCTTAAATAATTCTTCCAACGATCCCATAAACACAGAATAGTGGCACGTGGAACATACAGGCTACGTCGAAGCCCCCGTGAGCTAAGATTTGCGATGGAGTGAACCAAGATGAATAGTCAATGTCATATACAGTGGTCACAATTTAGATTAAAGCAGGAATCTGAAGTGATTGTTTCAGATTTGGTGGGCGAACTGTAGCTATTTTCTTATATGTCTTTATCTGGAACAACTTTCGACTTATTGAACTACCATGGGAATCACCATGGACATGGTTGCTCTGTTTAGTATTCCAGGACTTGATGTATTATTTGGGACATCGCGCTGTGCACGGTAATCATTCTACAACAGAGCCTACACTCTTATAATTTTCAGCCCATTTCACATAAGTTTCGCTATTTGCAGAAGCTGGCTTTTTCTGGGGCCTGCATACCATACATCATAGCTCGGAATACTATAACTTCTCTACAGCACTTCGTCAAGCTGCCATACAAGATGCTGGGTTGGCTATTTATGATGTTCTACAGGTATGCAATTAGCTGCGATTTTTTTTTCTAGATGAGAGCAACCAACTGACAGTGTAATAAGTATATGGGTAGCGGATTTTATCTTCTTCTCCCCTTGCAGCTAATCCTTTTCATGATTGTATGTTGTATTTATCAGATATGGAATATCTAGCCTCAGAATTGTCTTATAAAGACGATTGTTTCAAAAGAAAACATTTGCTTTGCTTAGCAGATAAGCTCCACCTTTTTTTATGAGCGAACACGGAAATGAAAGGTTTCTTGCGAGGGCGGGCCAGTTGAAAGTGAATGTCTTCTACCAAAATATCTTCACGACGAGAAACTGATAGTTTCACTTCATTAGAGAAATCAGCTTATAACAAAATAATTGTTTCGGCTTAACAATAAAGAATGCTTAGTTTAAAAAAAATAATCTCAGTTCAACAAATGAATTAGAAATCTCGCAAAATGCACAAAGCTGGTGCTAATTCGGGAGTTTTTAATAGGTCATGACAACTTGTACTTTCTTCCATTCAAAAATCAGATTTCAGCAAAACCACTTTCGTGAAAGACAATGAACTAGAAAGAATAAGTTCTTATGTACGAAGGATTGCTATAGGTATCTAGCTCAAATTAACGCATTTCAATCCAAATCTTCAAAAACCAAACTAAAGAATTTTTATATTTTTTTCTCCTGGAACCCTACTGATTGAAAATAAATTTACATGTAAATTATGCTATCGAATTTTCTATGAGAGGTTTCTCTGATGAGTTGGCAATCGAAACAAACTCCAGATGATTGACGAAAATGACCGAAATTTGTTTTTTTTAACTTAAGACAATCTGATCATTTGCTATAAGGCAATGAGCTTCATTTTCAAGATTAAGAGTTTCTTCCACATCTCGAGCAATTTAGGCATTCTGCATTCCGCCACCAATATTCCTAGTTCATCGATACTTCAGCGAGATACTCCAATTCGTCATGCATACTAGCGTGAGTACAGTGAAATCTTCTTTTTCTGTGATATTGAAGCGTTTCAATACCACA